CTAGGTATTTTCTCATTTTTCTTTTCACAGTGAACTATAAGCGAGTCATTCTTGATCAGAACGGGAATTTGGAGTGTTAAAACAAGATGCAGGAATGCTTTGGGATTTGGGTGTCTTGGGGTTTGCGTCAGCTGTTCCTGAGTTCTTTATGTGGATCTCCAGGTGTGTCCCGGTCAGGTTTCTGAGGAGACAAGGCTTCTTGGGTCTCTCAGGGTTTGGATGCCCTCTCCTGTGGAGTCTGAGTCTAACCTGCGTTGCCAAGGTGTGGAGCTCTTCCTTCTCATTATTTTCTCTTACCCCAGGAAAAGTGGCCTTTTAAAAGTTTTAAACCACTGTGGTTCTGCTGCTGTGTGAGGATCATGACAGGAGGAGTTGAGTAGCACCTGCTGAGCAGGACTCCAGATGGCTTCTTGGAACCAGGAGTGTCTGAGCCCCGGTGTGCTGAGTTAGGGTGGAGCGCCTGCAGCAGGACTCCTTACTGTTCACAGACTGTTTAGACTTGGACACCCTTCAGATACCCGCCAGTGTTTTGCAGATGGTGGAAACATCAATCTCCCCATGCCCGGGAGTCTCTTGGGACCTGCTAGGTGAGGAGAAAGGTAGAAATGGGCCACTCTGCTGAACCTGGTGTACCTTTGAGTGTGGCGTGTAAGAAGAAGCCAGAAGGTGGTTTACTGTCAGTCATCCTTCCAGGTCTGTTGTAGGGAAGCCTAGCAGCTCCAAGGTTCAAACCAGAGATTTCAGGGTCCTTGTCTTTCTTGAGGTCCAGTGTCTTTGGAAGAACTCAGTCTCACAGCCTTTCTGGCCAGTGGTGGTGATCCCGGAAGGAGGGGCACCTGGCTGACATAGGCTGCACTGCTCTCCCTACAGGACAGCTGGGGGTACTGTAGAAGGTCCCTGGTAGTATGTGCCTCACTGCCCAGGTCCGAGGCCCCTGTCACACTGAGTGAGGAGGCTGGAGAAGGAGCCTGCCATTCAGCAGCCTTTGCTGGAGGTCTGGCTTTCATTGGTCTTTAAAATCTAGCTTCATCTTTTTATATGTTGATTGAGCAATCAGCTGGCTCAGTGGCACATGTTTTGTTTAATGATACTGACTGCTTCACTATGGATTTCAACTTCAAATTTCAGCTAATTACATAAGGCCCAAGACTAGAACTTTCCCCATCACTTTTTCAAGGTGATGCCTGAGTAGAGATTGACTTAAAGCATCCAGGATGTGGGTCTGAGGTTGCCCACAGTAAGTCCTATTTTACCATTTAAAACTGTGATTTTCCAGGTATGTGTAGTGACACATGTCTTGGAAGGTAGAGGCAGATGGATCTCTGAGTTCTAGGCCAGCCTGGTCTACATAGTGAGTTAGTTCCAGGACAGCCATGGCTATGGAGAGACCCTCTCTTAAAAAAATAGTGAATTTTCACTTTCTTAGTATTTTGGTATAGAAATGCCTCTTCTATATGAGTAAATGCATAGACGGTTGAGAGCACTTAACCCATGATTGTGACTCTGCAGCCCCACTGTGACACTGAGTTCATGGGACTACTCTATGCCCTGAAGGAATGTGAGCAGGTCTCTGCATCAGCTCCTGCCTCCAGGTTCCTGCCCTGGGTGAGTTCCTGTCCTCAATTGTTATATGGAACTGTGAGCAAAATAAACCCTTTCCTCCCCTATTGGCTTTGGTCATGGTGTTTTGTCACAGCAATAGTAACCCTAACTAAGACAGATGGTCACTGTTGTCATCCCAGCGCAGAGTTCACTTATGGTTATGCATAACTCCCCAGTAGCACATAAGCTTAGTCACAGATCTGAAAACTCATCTCTTTCCTTCAGGGGCCTTAAGGTCAGGCCGTAGTTGGTGACTTTGGAATGATGGCACTTCAGCTTATTCTGCTGTTAATCTCTCCAGGCCCCATTGTCAGCCAGAGGGACAGAGCAACAGAGGGATTGTCTTCTGTTGAGTGGGTCAACTCCCTCCTCACCTGGGAGGCTCCTGGTCTGGTGGGGTCAGCCCTCCCTTTGCTTCTGCCCCCTTGCTGTATTCCTTCAGGGCTTTCACAGTTGGCCAGTTCCATCCTGCTCAGCCTCCCAGGGCCAGTTTTAGGATTAGGTGACATGAGTGCATGGTTTGCTCTCCTCTGGCGTTTCCCCATGCCTATTGCTGCGGTGGCTGTGGGAGCTGGGGACCAGTGCTTCTTCTGTGCTTCCTTCCTAGTCCCTGGCTTGTTGGGAGGCCTCACAGGGCCTTGGTGACTTTGGCAGGGCCTGAGGTCTGTTTTCTCTCTCAGGGTGCCTACTTCCTCTACCACTGACTGCTGGCAGGCCTGGGGCCTGCTCCTGAGAATACCACAGAAACACTTACTGGAAAAGGTGCAGTGCAGCAGCAAAGACAGCTCTGGAAGGCCTGGTGAAGTCAAGCAGAGAAGGAAGGGAGCTGCTGCTGCCTGTGGGTCTCTGGCTTTCAGTACCTTGGTGGGAACTGGCCTCTGGCGCCAGCTGCTTAATTCAGAACATTGTTATTTAAACGCCCTTCATGTTAAAGGGACATGAAAAGAAATTCACTTCATTTTTCAGAGGCCTCCAAATAGCCGTAGAAAATCGATTCTTTTTCTGCCACCAATTAATGTCAGCCCCTCTTGTGGCTTTTGGTGGATGCCACAGTGATGATGTAGGGAATGTAGGTACAGGAGCCAGAGTCTGGGTTCTATGGCCAAGTGGAGAGCTATAATAAGCCTAGCTGGGCTCTGGACAGGCCACAGGGATATCCCATGTAGGTGACCCAACCAAGCTACTGTGCCTAGGACTGCCATCCCCAGAGAACTGTGGGGCAGAGTATGTGCACATTTCCTGTGGCTGCTGCTGTCAGCAAACACTCCAAGAAGTGGGCAGTTGGGGACTGAAAATGAGTCAGTGGTTAAAAGCACTTGGTGCTTTTCTAGAGGACTCAAGTTCTGATTCTAACATCAACATTGAGGGCTCAAAAGTACCTGTTGCTCCAGCTCAAGGTGGTTTGACACCCCCTTTTGGCCTCCATGGGCACTGCACTCATGTGCACATACTCAGCTATAGACACATATATAAAAAATTGGACTGTTGGAGCCACCTTGGCTTCATGCCTCTGGATTCACCAGTTTTTCATTCAGAAATCTGGACCCTATATGTTTGGATTTAACTGGGATGTTGATTATACCAGGTGTCTGCCCATGTGTTCAGATAGCAACCTCCAAGAAGTAAAGCCTGAGTTCTTGTCTCAGGATAGCTTGGAGTCAGTGCCCTGAGAGTTTGGTATTTACCTTGCAGTCAGTGGGATGTTCCAAAGTAGGTGTTAAAGAAGTAGTATATGGACAGAGGGGCCTCTGTAAACTGTGACAAGTGGCCTAAGGCCGGGTTCTCCCAGCAGGCACATACCCTGAGGCCCTGGAGCAGCCTTTTCAAATTCTTTCTGGTTTCTTAAAGAAGCGGGGTGCTGTGCAGGGAAGCTTTGGAACATGATGCTGAGGCCTGTATTATTTGGGAATATCTTGTGTTATTTGGGAAGCGTTGGTTCATGTCAGGCTGAAGGGGAAAGGAGAAGAATCAATGGATGGTTCTAGAAGCATGTAAATGGCACACAGGATCCCAGGCAGCACGGAGCAGCACAGAAACCTAGTTCTGGAGAGGCAGGAGAGGATACAAAGGGATACTGCATGTGGGGATAACCTGTAGCTTGGGGGCTGCTGCTGTGGGGTGTGTGGGTCTAGGAAGGGTCAGCAGGACTCTTCCGTTGGGGACGGAGGGCAGGTGTGATGGGCTTTGGAGGTCACCCTGCTTCTGTCACAACTTGTGAGCAGAAGAAAAGCAGAGGTGGACTGTAGGTGAACAAAGAAGGGTGTGACCATGTTCTGATAATACCTGTCAAGCAAGTACACAGGGCGGGGGAGGGAAGCGGATGTGGGGGTGTCAGCTAGGATGTGGATGTCCTATATGACCCAAGGTGAGGGCTGTGTCATTCATTGCAAGAGGTGCCCAGATGAAATGGGACTAGGAATACCTTGATCCAGGGTTTGGGAAGCTCAGGTGCATGAAGGTGTGACCTAGGAGGGAATTTTAGGAGATGGAAGGATCATAGTACTTTCTGTAATAGCCAACGCAAAGGAGATCCTCTGGGAGGGTGATGACTAGGCGAGGTAATTGGAAGTAGTTCTAGGCCAGAGAAGCAGAGGCAGCAAGCCATCTTTCTCTAAGCCTGGGCCCAGAGGGCCCAGGTTTGCTAGTGGTGTGCAGGGGGGCTCGAGGAGGGTTTCTGGGGAATCATTGGTCAGACAGGGACTTTTGAATAAGAGGAGCTTGAAGGGAGTACAAAAATACCCCCTCTGTAGCTTTGCTTTTAGCTCTTGCATCACAGTGTCCATTGAAGTCAAATTCACCAGCTCTCCACAGTACCATCCATTCGTTTTCCATCCACCTGCCGACACGCATGTCCTGTGTTCCCGCTGAGCCAAATCTTATCCCATCATTCTGTAATGCATATCATAATGTTCCCATGTCTTTTGTTTTTTAAATATGTCATAAAGATGAAACTAGACCTAGAACAGGCCAGATAAGTGGTCTGCCCCCTCATGCTATACCCCAGCCCCATGCTTCACTTTTAAATGTACCCTATGCAAAATACGGAACGGTTTTTCTGGCAGTCATATTATTCAAAGCTTGCTGAGTCTCAGGTAGTTTAAGGAAAATCTTACACTAGTTCAGCCTCCTCCAAGTCTGCTTTAGTTAAGGACAGCAGGGAAAAATAGAGGCATTATAATTTTAGAGGACAGAAGAGAAGTAGGCACTGGTTGGGTGACCCAGGTTATTGTGGAAAGTGGCTGTATTGTAAAAGTAGCGTATGATTAAATCCCAACAGTAGGGGAAGCTTTGGAATATATCCTGTGTGTTAAGTAACCAATGCTTCTATTGTGCTTTATAAATGACCAGCTGCTTCCAAACACACTTTCTTACTCGACTTAAAAATTGCTTCTCTCTAGGAACTTGGCAGAATGGCTGAGACCTGCAAAATGAAATACACAGTGTTGGACAGCCCTTTGGGGAAGATCGAGCTGTGTGGCTGTGAACAAGGCCTGCATGGGATACGGTTTCTCAGAGGAAAGACCCCAAGCACTGAGTAAGTGTGAGCTGTAAGCATGAGCATTGCATGAGTGGCGTGGGCTAAAGGCAGGAGTCAGCAGGAGCCCTGGGTCTTTCCCACTGGTCACAGGTAATACAGAGCCTGGTGCCACCAACCACAAGCATTAGCATCTCTGAAAACAGTCTATGAGTTGTGGTGTCTTTGGCAACTCATATATTATCCAGTAATCTGGAATAGCTGGTAAGCCCTGGGGACATGACTTTGATGAGAGCTTCCAGATATTTGATTCATGCTTCCTTTTGCAGAGGCGTTGAAGTCTGTGAGCACTGAGCTCTGTGTGTGTGTATACGTGTGCACACACGCATCTGTGTCTGTCCAAGTAGGTACACACGTCTGTGTGTTTGTGTGGAAGCCAGAGGACAGCCTCCAGTGCTTCGTGCCTTGTTTTTTGAGACAGTCTCTCATTAGCCCGGAGCTCACCTCTTAGGCTAGGTTAGGCAGTGAGCAAGCCTCGGGGATTAGCCCGTCTTTACTTTCCCAGCACAGGGATTACAAGCCAGTGCCACATTGCCAGCTTTCCACATGGATTCTTGGGATTGAACCTAGATCTTCTTGATTATAAAACAAGCACTTACTTTCCCACCCACATTGAGTATTTTGGTTCTTGAACACACGAGATACAGGGATGAACAGCCCTCTCAATCGTGTGACTTACCTCAGAGGCTTTAAATCGAGCCTGGCAGCGTCTGTCAGCCACTTCTCCCACTGCTAGACCAGATCATTGGCCCTGTCAGTCCACAGTGCTGCTTCCTGGAGATGGCACCAGGCCAGGAGTGATCACTGCTAGGGTGTGGCAAGAGTCTTTCTACCCGGTGACTGCAGAGTGCCAGGTCCTTTGAGGACATGTGTTCCTCTGTGCATGGCCCTTACCACATTTTTTCTAATTGTAAAAACAAAACAAAACTAAGACAAATCGAAAGCACTCCTGAACATCTCATCCTAAAGTGTTGTACCGAACTTCCTAATTTCCTCTGTTTGCTGGCTGTGAGTGGTAACATTAAAATGGCAATTCTTGTTATTTCTGAGAGAAGTAGAAAAAAAGAGAAGAAAAAGCACAAACTCCTATGCTGGGTGTTTGTCTTAACTGGCTAATAAACACAATGCCAAGAACATTAGATAAAGAAAATACATAAGAAACATAAAAATTGATTTTAATGGACCCCTGTCAGAGACAGCCATAATGAGCATTGTTTGGTAATAAATTCCAGCATGGCCCTCCCCAGCCAGTTCCTCTTGTAGAGCCGTGTGCTGCAATCAATATCGTCTTTAAGACTTCAAGACTGAAAAATAAGCAAACCTTTGAACTGCTGGAACAGGCTCCTCTCAGTTTCTGTGAGAACCATCTGGCTGTGGTGCTCAGAAAATCTCAGGCACCAAATAATTTGTAGGGAAAATGTCACTTTGTCTCTTAGCATGTTCAGTAGCTCAATAAATCAGAGAAATTATGTGTTGGTTTCTTTTGGAGAAACAGTAAAGCACTCCTTACTGTAAGTTTGGGGAAGAAAATATAAAAAGCAGGCATTATGAGAATATTTAGGGGCTGGGGAGCTGGCTCCGTGGTTAAAATCCTGTACTGCTCTTGCATAGGACTCGAGTTCGGGTCCCCTGCGTAGGGTGACTTACAGCTGCCTGTAATCCCAGCCCCAGGGGATCCAGTGCCTCTGACCTCCAATTATACTCCTAGACAGCCCATCCTCCCCTACAAATACACATGATTAATTTTTTTTAATCTTGAAAATGGTGTATTTGTTTAGATATGTCTTATGGGTTGTGTGAGCTGCACAAAGAGGCTAAATTAAGTTAGGATTAGATTTGACTGAAAACAACCACCCTGTAGGGAACTGCACTGGGCTGCCCTCAGGGAGGGGCCCTTATGTGTAGAGAGTAGAGGCCAGGCTGCCCATGTTGGGATTCTGGTGTCCCACCTCCTCCTAACCAGTCTCTCAGTTCCCCACTGAGGCCCTGCCTGAGGCTACAGGCCTGCTTCCCACTGTCCCAAGGAGTGACTGGTGCCTCCTCCTCTCTGTTGGTTCAGGACTTTGGAGAGGGTATCTGTGAGATAACCCTGACACTAGTGATCCCATGAGTAGCAAGCAGTAGGAAGCTGGATTTTGAGGGTGTGATGGTTAATCTTGATTGACAGTTTGGTGGAATTTAGAATCTCCATGGAAACAAATCTCTGGCCCAGTCTGTAAGGGATTGTCTAGACTGGGTAAATTGAGAAGGCACACCCTGAGCTGGTGGCATGATTCCACAGGCCTGGGAGTCTGGACTGGATAAAAAGGAGACAGTGAACTGAGCACTGGCGTTTGTCTGTCCCTGCTTCCTGATTGAGGACACAATGTGACCAGCTGCCTCAGGCCCCTGCCCCCACACTTTTTCTGCCTTGATGGGTCAAAATAAATCCATATTCCTAAAGTTGTTTTTATCTGGTATTGTGGTAAACATCCAAACCAGTAACTGATACTGAGAGCAGCCGGAAACATATATATGTATACAGCTAATCTGATGAGGTATTTCAAACCTCAAGAATACTCAGAATTAGCCATTTGTATTTTGTCAGTTTACAAAGCTGAAGTTAAAAATTTCGTAGGGATATTTAGATTTCAAACATAAAGTTCAGTAAGTTTTGACAGAAGCATGCTGTCATACAGAGACCATCCCAAACATGATCTAAAACTCTCTGGAAAGTTCATTGTGGGTTCATGCTCCAGCCTTGCAAAGATCTCTGTCTTCATTTTTCTTGAGTAAATTCCAAGGTAAGGAGTTACTGGATTCCATGGCATATAAACATTCTAAGTTTGTAAGAGTTTGCCCACCTTTTAGTTCTGTAAATTTTTAAAATTTGGTCCTTCAGGTGAGTAGGCAGCATCATCTCATTGTGGATTGAATTTTTAAAATTTGTACATTACTGCCTCTTGTCCATTTTAATGCAGATTTTCTTTTTTCCTCTTCTTTCTTTTTTTCTTCTTGTTACTACTTTACAGGTTTGAGTACAAGTCCTTAACTAGGCATGTGAGCTGTTTCTTTGTTTTTTCCTCTCTAACCCAGACTGGTTTTGAACTCATAGTCAACCTTCTGCATGCTGATATTATAGGAATGTACCACCATGCCTGGTTTAAACTGTGATTTCCACCCTGTGGTTTGAATGTAATTAGCCCCCATAAGTTCATAGGGAGTGGTCCTATTGGAGGTGTAGCCTTGTTGGAAGAAGTGTGTCACTGTAGAGGTGTGCTTGGAGGTCTCCTATGCTCAAGCTCAGTGTGATATGTAGTTCACTTCCTGTTTTCTACACAAATTGTAGAACTCTCAGCTTCCTCTCTAGCACCATATCTGCCTGTATGCTGCCATATCCCACCATGATGATAATGGACTGAACCTCTGAACTGTAAGCACTCCAGTTACATGTTTTCCTTTATAAGAGTTGCTGTGGTTATGGTCACAGCAATAGAAACCCTAAGACACTCCCTTTGCTTGCCTATATTTTGTTTTACTAAGTTTCTTTAGAGAAGTAGTTTCTAATTTTAAGAAAACTGATCAGTTTTTCCCTTAACATTTATTTTTCCCCTTTAATAAATACATACTGGTATACACCTTTGATCCCTCAGGAGGCAGAGGAAGGTGGATCTGTGTGAGTTCAAGGATAGCCAGGTCTACACAGTGAGACCCTGCCTCAGTAAAGAACAACAAAAGAAAAGAAAAGCAAAAGCCCCCAAACACCCCCCATAAAACACTATACCCACCATTAAAACCTGGAGTATTTACTGTAGTTTCATCAAAATCTGCTGTGATGTCCCTCGGGAGTGTGATCCTTCTTGCACTAAGATGTGTTCCTTGTTTAAGTGACCATGATGGATGTACAGTTGCTTTTCTTAATCATTTACTTAGTTTTGAATAGTTGTCTAATTCCATCCTTTGTTGGGGGAAACACAGCTTCCAGCTCTATTCACTTCTTGGCAGTGCCTTGGAAGGGCTGTTCCTGGTTCCATTGGCCTTTGTTCTCAGCCAGCCCCATGTTGACTTGGTTATGGAGTTTGTGCCCAACCTGAGATAGTCAGGCCATATCTCTAGCTGCTGTCTTTGGCTTTTGGGTATCCTCACTTCTGTTAGGTTGTTGTTGGGAAAGGATCTCATGTATTCCTGATTGGCATGAAACTCAGGGATGACCTTGAACTTCCGATCCTCCTTTAGAGTGCCATCACCCTACTTGGTTTATGAGGAGCTGGGTGTCAAGCCTGGGGTGTTGTGCTTGCTAGACATACTCTCCAACAACTGAACTACATTTCTAGCAATCTTCTAGATCTTTATTTGATTCTTTAAAATTATGATTTTATGTATTCAAATGTATATATACATGTGTGCATATACACACAGTATCTTTTTATCCCATCCCCCTTCCCCTCCAAGGCCTCCCTTCACCTCCCAGCTGGCCCCAGGTCTCTTCATTTTGCACAATACCTTGCCAGTTGAAGTAACTGTTTTTGTACAGCTTTTTGTTGGCATTTGATTGAGAGGTGTCTGCTTCCATTCTTTGTTGCTTAACAGCTTCTTGATATTGACTCTGTCGATTTGTGGTGTGATTTATCTCTGCATCTATTAGGGTTATCTTTCATTTTTCTCAGCAGGGTTTTGTAGTTTCCAGCATGAAGACCTCACATGTCTTTGATAGAATTGATTTTTAGGCACTTTGTTCTTGATAGTATTCTAAATCAGCTTAAAACTTTTGTTAACTTTTAAATTATTGCTTCTGGTTGTAGCCATTGATTTTTTTTTGTATGTTGATCTTACGTTGTACAAACTTCTGTGAATTCATGCATAGGACCCTCCCAAACCCTTCCCTGTGATTTTTTCTACTGTTTGTTACCCATGATCAGCTAGAGTCCTGAGTCCAGAAATGGTTCGAGAAAGAAACCATCATGACTTGTCAGTCTATGCCATTCTATTTAGTATGATGATGTCTTGACCTATCAGGTTGG